AACTGTATTGGGCTATCCGGGGGGGGGGACGGGACAGGACACCAGAGGGAAGACAAGATAGAAATGGAACTCGGAAGAAGGCCGCCATGGAAAGAGTGGGGGCTCCTCATGAGATTCCACCCTGACCCAGAGAGTCCCCCACTCCCCACCCAGGCAGAAAGAGGCCATCCAGTGGACACCGCCTTTCTTGGTCTTTTGTATTTGGGGTGCCACCCTGATACTGCCCCACCCCCGGACAAACACACATACACACACACCCATAGGCCTGCCTCGCCTCTTCTTTTCCTGCAGCTTATTCCGGCTACTACCAGCTGGACCAGAGGTCCATGACGGGCATCATTGCGGGCGTCTGCATCGCCCTGGCCTGCATCGTGATCTGCATCCTGATCCTGATCTACCGCAGCCGAGCCAGGTGGGCGAGCCGGCTTCTGCGGGAGGCGGGTGGGGAGTTTGGGTGAGGTAGGGAGAGGCCCTGGGCCGCCTCCAGGGCGCCAGGGGTTCACGTGGCCCCTGGAGGTTGGCCCAGATGGAAAGTGGCCTCTGCATCCGTGGACCGTCATGCCCAGACGAATGGGACACACGGGGCCGCTGCCTGGGAAAGCATGTGCCTGCCCACGCCGGGCAGGCTTTAAGGTCCCACAGGGTTCTTCTTGGCTTCCCGACAGCAGCGGAAGAGGCTTATGCCGCTTGGGTCCCGGCTGGGGGGGCCTCTCCGCACACTCACGGGTTTCTCCAGGGCTGCTTGTCTGAGGCTGACCCTAACCCCCCTCCCCCTTTCTGGCTTCCTTCTTCTTGCACAGGAAAGCCTCAGCCCCCAAGAGTCTCCAGCGGGGCCCCGATCCGCTCTCTGGCCACAGCGTGGTCTCCTCCGTCGGGGCCACCGAAACGGGCAAGAGCCTGGAGGACGTGGCTGAGAATACGGAGTCTTTGCTGCCCATGATGGCCGGAGGCAACTTCCTGGATGCCAAGGTGGGCTGGCCCGTTTTCTCTGCTCTTCTCTCCCCCTCCGCACACACCCGCCTCCCTGCTTGTGCTTCCTTCGGACCTGCACGGTTCACCCTTCCAGAGAGGGTGGCTTCCCTCAAGGAAGAGTCTCTGCCAGGCTCTTGCAAAAGCTCTCACAAAGACAACCCCCCCCCAGGCCAGTTCCTCCCAGTTTCCCGGGGCCTTGGTGCCACTCGGAAGAGCGCTGCCTCTCGGCCGAGGCGTGAAGGGTGGGAAAGCCAGAGAGATCCCTGGCCTCAATCCAGTCTTTCCTGGTGCCTGATCTGGAACGTCATCCAGTTGATGGAGAAGGCTGGCTTGCGTGCCCAGGGGTCGGGGCCCCCATGGAGGCTGCCCTCCTCCTGCCGCCCGGTTCGTTCTCCTCCTGGCAGAAATCAAGTTCATTTGGGTGGGTGTTGAGGGAGGGAGAGTCCTTTGTGCGAGGGTTCCTGAGACTTGCATCCTGGCGCTGCGGGGGATGACCTGGGAGGGCAGGTGAGTGCTGTCCCCGGGGGTGGAGGGCGGGGGTTCACCAAAGAAAGCGTGCGGGGCCAACCTTTCTGGGGTTGAAATCCCTCCTCCTGCTGTAGCAGGAAAGGCCATGTTTCTGATTTCGCCCAAACCCCCTTTTCATTCAGTAACTTGAGAATCCTCTTCTTTTTCTTAGGGTGGGACGGACCTGATCATAAACAGCTTTGGTCCCATCACCAAGAAGACAACGAAGAAGAAATGGCTCTTCTTTCCAAACTCCGCAA